GATAAAAAATTGTTTCCATGGAACTCAATAGAATTTATTAATCAATGAACACAAATGGCTAAATGTCACAGTGAATGGTTCGTCCCTTACAATGCCAATTCAATGAATAGATTGTATAATAATTTGTTGAAATTATTTTAACTTTTTAGTACTACTAATAACAATTAACAATTGAACTTGACAAATTTAGAATATTTCGCATATGCTTTTATCTGCCACATCTTAAAATCGTCATATGTATCCCCTTTTGCTGCATGTCGGGAATTAAGGCAGGTTGCACGTACAGTTTCCGCATTATGAATTGTTGTACCAGGAGTTGGGGTGGTTTATTCAGAAAGTCGAATATGTCAATTTCATCTGCATCAGGGTCTTCACATACTTAGTTTTCTTTTTAATCGGGTATCCTAAATAATTGTAAAATATCTTGGGGTACAGTTACAACGTAAGATGAAATTTTTTCTAAGAAACTCAGTATAATTTATCAATCAATGGACACAAATCGTTAAATACCACAATGAATATTTTCTTCTTTAGAACCCATCTCAATGTATATATTATGTAATGCAAAGTGTTTAACTTTCTAATCCATCTAATAACAATTAACTATTGAACATGATCAAATCTGAACTGTTTGGAATATCTCGCAAATGGTTTTGCTGTTACTTTTCAGGGTCTCCATTTAAACCCACATTTGCTGCATGTGAAGCAATTGGGACAAATTCGATGACACGTAGGTTCGAAATTAAGGCAGGTTGCACACACAGTTTCCGCCTCCTGAAATGAAGTACCAGGAGTTGGTGGTGGTTGATTTAGGAAATCAAATAGGTCAATTTCATCTTCAGAACCGTCCTGGTCATCATCAACTTTAGCTTTCTTTTTAATTGGGCTATCAGACGCCATAATGAATCTATGAAATTTAATGAGAGTATTATTAAAAAATAAGCATTATAAAATAGCCAATATGTGTTTCATAATTTCTCTAAAGTTTCGCTTACCTTGCAATTTTAAGCGTAGTTTAATTAAATTTACTGAAAATAGTCAATATTTAACCTTACGACCTGCTCCTCCTATCACTCACGGCTATTAAAGATCAGAAACAAAAAACGGGCTTTCGTGGAATAAAGAAAATCATTCCATAGCCATCTGTTAACTTTCATGAGCTGTTGCAATTAATGCAATAATTCGATCGAAATTCATTGCTTTCTTCGGTGATATTTCTTTCCGAAACACCGTTTTGCATTAGCACTATTTCATCAATTACATGTGATTGACAATTAAATTATTGATAGTCTAATGATTCTTTAAAATTAAAGATAATCAAGGACTAAACTATTGCAGTAAATTATAATTTCATTATAAATCTTTATTGTGACACAATCTTTTTTATTTATTTAATTTATTTTAGATCGCTGTGAAACAGAATGGTCATAAGTAGGGATCGGATTTCTACGATTTTGCATATTTTTGTGATTTTGTTTATTTTGTTGCTTCAGGTCATAGCGAAGTGAAATTTCTTGACATCAGGCTAGTATTGGATGCTATGTAGACTAACATGTTAGTGCATATTTATGCATATGTTCCGATTTTTCCTTTTGGTGCATATTCGTGTAATTATAGTGCCATATTTTGCATATTTCGTTAAAATAGAGACTTATCTCTAAAATGTTTCATCTTCTCATAGAATCTACTATTTATTTGTGAATGTTCATTGATTAGATTGAGCTTGCCACAGTTTGCGTTTTTCTTCTTTTCTCTAGATGTAAAATACTTGTGCTAATGTAGGATATTTGTTCTTATTTTAAATGAGAAGAAATGCACCAAGACATACAATATACTTCACTGAAGTGAACATTTACTTCAACGTTTGCTCCCACGAAGTTAGATTGTAGTAGGTTTGCAGAAAAATATATTTTATATATAAAATATATAAATTTTCTATTGAAGCATGCTTCTCCGGAATTTTATGAAGAAAGGATTATTCAGGAAATGAAATGTTGTTAATTTTTATTGCATATTAAAAAGGCATATTTAAGATTTTTTAGGTCATAAATGCGTATTTTTAATAACATATTTCAAGATTTTTAGGGCGTAAAAATCCTCTCCCTAGCCATAAGTAACGAATCTTTACTTTGCCTAATTCAATACATTTATGGACACAAATACTTTCAATTAACTCATAAAGTTTCTTGAAATCTGAAAAGTTATCGACCATAATTATTTCCTTTCTTCTTTTTATTAACTTATTTTTAATTTCTCGTATACGTACGTATTACGGAGTAATGAGATAGTTATGTGAAGCTTCGGAAAATCAATTTTGAGATTTCATTGGAAATACTCACTTATGGGTCCTCTGATACCGAAAAAGTGTTTGTTTTCTTTAAAAAACGTCCGTCCGTCTGTCTGTCCTTCCGTCCGTCTGTGAAAACAACTAGCGCCTAAACGACACGTATGATTTTTTTTTCTTTTTCAAAATGAAGAAACCCGTACCCATCTGGCTCGAGTCCAAGCTTTTAAATTTTGTAAAACATTCTTTAAAATTTGGGGGTACAGTGACGTCATGGATACTCACAGCGACCACAGACACAGAGCTTTCGTATAACAATATATTTATTAACAAAGAAAACAAAACAAATATATACACTTAATAATCTACTTACACCCTAGCTCTGATAGACTTACTATCCCCTGATCGCGGGAGCGATCCAAACCCGATTGAAGATGGTTTTGATTGTGGCATTCGCCACTCCTACTTTTGAAGCGCGCACAAAGCCTAGCTTCCGTGACCGGATGTCACGCTGGGACACAAAGTCCGTTCTGGCGCACCAACGGCTGGTTTGCCTCGATCGCAGGAGCGATCTTATTCGATTGAGAATCGGCGTGAATCGTGGCACTCAACCACTTTTCACCTCGGAGCACGCACACAGCATCGCTCCCCCGTGACCGCAGTCACCCAAGGACCAAACGTCCGCAGGCTTCGTCAACTAGTGACTCGAGCCTCGCGAGCCTGGCTCGCATATGCACCGTCGTGGCGCCAAGTTTTGTGCACATGCACGAGGTTCTCCCACTGTCTCCAGAACCCACCCACTGGCTCTGTACACTCTGTTATATAGGCGAGGCCCACGTGACCTACTACGTCACGCCACCCCCTCGCTTATAACAGTGAAAAGTTTCGATAGGCCGGATACTCCCAAAGCCTTGTGTCTCCCGTTTCCGCGTTCTTCCCTTTACGGAAAAACCCTACTTCCTGTGGCTAGGCTAATCCTCTACCAAGCGTCCCCAAATAGATGCCATGAGGCACGCTGGCTACTACGTTACAGTACTTTACATGAAGCTCCTGGAACATTTTCAAAATTTTCTGAAAATCTGAAATTTTTTCTTTATTTTTTTTAGAATATAGTAAAATACACTTATAAATGTGGCATAGATCCGATCTTCAGGGTTAACTATGAATTTTCGAAAATTTCAAAATTTTCAAATATTTCGGGCATCTTCCTACATCTACAAAATTGAACATAGAGGTTCTTCCTTCAAATGAAATTTGTCGTCCATAGTTAGTTCTTTCATTAAGGGCATGTACATTGTTTTGAAAATGTTAGTAGTTTTCGCGCAACATTGAGTGCAAGGTTTGCAATTTAAAAAAAAATACATAAACAAGATTTTGTTTCAATAACTACCCCATATTTTTTCTTTAAAGTCTTAGTGAGAATAGTGCTAAATGCACTCTATAAGATGACATAAACGCCATATTGATCTATCCTTTTGTTTTTTCAAAAATTACAAAACTGTAATTGTATGTAATTGTAACTCACGTCGTTAATATTTAAGTTAGCGGCGATTTGTTTACATCATTTTATTTATTAGTAAGTGTGCGTTGAATAATGTCATATAAACCTTATCGAAAACTCAATAGTTTTCTGATAAAATTCTGCATTTTCAGATACGCTCAAATGCCATATTCTCAAAAATAGCTCCAATATTTTTCTTCAGTTAATTCCAAGTTGCAGTGCTAATTGCATTGTTAAAAATAATATAAAGTTCATTTTGTTGTATTCTTTTGTTGTTTGTTCTTCAAAAATTACACAATCATATATTTTGTGTAAATATCTCTCTCGTCGCTAATATGCACATTTCCTGCAATTTGTAAATACTATTAAATTTGCGAGTTAAAGTACCTCAAATAACTTTAAATAAAGTTTTCCAAACACTAAAAATTTTCTGTGAAAAAGTACTTCAAATTTCAAATGTACAGTAACACTTAAACGACATTTACTTAACCCATTAGTTCCCGCACAAAGAAATAAACATCAAACTAGGTTTTTCATACTTGTCGTTTCAATTTAACATTAGAAAACACATGTAAGTTAAATTTATTTTTATCCGATGTATGAAAAAATTCATGTTGCGTTTGCATTGATTTACATTGATTTACTTTGATTGGAACATTCTATTTTGTACAATAATAAATTGTTTTTGGCTTGCAGAGGACACATCTACTGATATTTGAATTTTATGGTACCAATTTTAATATACCATTAAATTTGACTGTCGTAATTTTAGATAGTTGTCAGGTGCTTCAATTCATGAATGTTCGGTGCTTGGTTAGATGAATGTGAGAGCTATTTCATATTTAAAATCCACCTGTCCTTCTTTCCTACTGTTCTCAATTCAGTTAAATGTTCTGGACGGACGGGCGTGTTGAAAAAACTGTTTTCGAAAGATATTGCCAGCAATATTACATAACTTTCCATATACTTCGTGTATTACTCCGTATATACGTATGTATTCGAGAAGGTAAAAAGAGATGTACAAGCACAACGAAAGATAATTAATGCATTTATTTGTCGCATATAAGTTTGTGGGTCATACAAATTTTTGTCACCTCATTTCAAGAAGAGAGTAGCCGATACATAGTTTACATAACAGGTACGAATATTAACACGTGAAAATCTGTGCTATGTATGGTTTATCACTATTAGAAGTTGATTGGACTAGCTCAATGTACTATTCGCAACTCGACTTTTTCCGCGTTTGAATTCGTGACTTCGTGAAGTCGATCGTTCCAAATCTCTCGTTCGCCTCGTGTCGATAATCGCATATTCCGCTTGGAGTGCCGCATGGAGTTGCGAGTGGCGCCAGGAATTAGGATTGTTGAGGATAACGTCCAAGCACTGTGATATTGTAAAGGGTGATTCGTGTGTTCACTGACATTTAAAATGTATCCTGGAAGTACCCAACAAAAATTTTGGACTTTTAAAGATGAGAATGACTTGGTACAACTTAGACAAGAAGCCAATGAGCATTTTATTGAAAAGCATAAAGCTGGAATGTCTGTAAGTGTTTACTTCTCAGATTACGAATGTTCATTGTGACATGAATTTAAAGTGTTAGAATATCTCCTTGAGTGAAATTAGTGCTTCAATTATTATTCAAGTTGCTATACGAGTATGTAATTAGTAGTACCTATTAGTTTTATTTTTTTATAAAATAACAAGTTTTGTAATTCCCGCACCTGAATTATGTAAATAAACATAGCATTGAACAAAATTGGTCAATGTTATTATTTTATAATTACATTCGTTGCAAAGGCTGTATATATAAAAAACGTTTTAAATTTTTTTGTGAGGTTATACATACATCGACAACAAAATCACTACATAAGAAAAAAAAATTGTTACAAAGGAATATTGAAAAGAAAGTTGTAGAATTATAAAATAGTACCTAAATGTTAATTAAAAGTTAATTTTTTAGATTCAGTCCTAAAATCCATTTTGAAAGCTTTCCAATATGCTTTTACATACGAAGAAGTTGAAGAAGTAGGAAGGATATTGTGAATTATTATTCAAAATTTTATGAAGTGTAACAAGCATTCACTCTCATTGTTGATAAATAAAATTGTAAATAATGAAAAATGACCTTACGAAATGTTATTAATTTAAAAATTGGGATTTGTCAATATAATAATTCAAGGATTTATTTTTATGAAGTATGTTTCTATATTGTATACTGAGCTTATCTTCAAACAATTTTTTCAGTTAACAAAATGAAGACTTTCATTCCTGACATGCATTCATAGAATTCAAAAAACCAAATGTCATCATGACAGATTTATGAACGATCTAAGTATTACATGCGCATAATTTCTTGAGCCCTGGAGTACTAATATAAGTTGAATTCTAATTAATTAATGCAATGAGTTTTGTTGACAAAATCGAATAACCATATATGTTTGCTCCTGTGAAATAGAATCTATTTTGCATAGAAAATTGAGTTACAGATTTGATATAATATTCCTGTCAACAAAACAATCAAACTTCCCACTCCTATCGCATCTAGCAAAGCGAAAGCTCAAGAAAAAATGCGGGGATAATACTGTAGGTTGTCCATAACTTGAAAGTTAACCTAAATAAAAATTGGTTAAATGGTCACATTCTGGAAAATGGGGGAATTTCATTGCTGTGGAAAAGTGAGAGAAAATCAAAGAATTTGTAGAAGAATCATTAGAAGTCAAAGAAAATTTTGCGATAAAAAATGTATATTAATATATTTTATATAAAATAAATTATAAATAATGTTTAGTTATAAAAATACATATTATTCCTTAAAAACATCAATACAGTGTTGTTATTTTCTCAATTTTTTATTTTGGGAAAAATATTGTTCGTTCATATTTGTGATGTTGAAATCAGGAAGCTGACCAATTAGTATTAGCGTAGCTGTAATATTTTCTTTAAGTAGTGTAAAATCACAAATTCAATGAGGAAAAATAAGAAGTGAACTGAGAAAACAGAAATTTCTTCTGGAAAATGCATGCCCATCCTTGGTTAGGACCAAAAAAACAACTAAAAACAATACAACCAAAAAATAAAAATAAAACAGTTTTATTGAGGAGTGACTTTATACTGACTTATATTAGTTTTGAACATTAAATCACCAAACGTCACAGTTCATTCACTAGAGTAAATTGTTTTTAAATATTCTTTCATTTTCTGTTTTTAACTGTCCCACTTATTAACTCCTTTTCAATTAGTTTTTGATGTTGCAAAATTCAATAGTTGTTTAGGAATATTAGTAATGAGTGAAAACTTCTTTAAGTACAGAACAGTAGGGCTGCAAGGCTTCAGATGCATGCAGGGAATTGTTGCATTTACAGCATCATCTTCAGTATATGATTCAGGAATTATGTTGTCAGTTGGTGTCAGTGTCTTCAATTGTAAATACATCATTATTGATGATTAGAAGATCATATTATTGATTCAGGAGTAGAGGAAGAAGAGCATGCCACTGCAAGAGTAGCCTTAATAGAAAATGAGAAATGGAAAGGTTCCAAAGATGAATATAACTGGATATCCCCAAGACTAATAATGATGAAACTAAAAGTGAACAAACCCACACTAAATATAATAATACACGCTCCAATTGAAGGATAGATAGAAGAATCTGACTGTTTCTATAAAGATCTACAACAACTGGTGGATCAAGTAAAGATGAGCTCCTCATTATATCTAGTGACTTCAATGCCAGAATTGGTGATAATGAAATACCTCAATGCAAATGCCCAGAACGAGAGAAAAACAATAAATGAAAATGGGAAAATGCTTCTTAACTTTTGTGTGTTCAACAACTTAATGATAACAAATAGCTTTTTCAAACATACAGAAATTCACTAATTCACTTGGGAAGCAAGAGGTATGAGATCCATCCTAGACTATGTAATAGTAAGCAGAAACTTATTTGAATATGCCAAGAACACTAAAGTGTTTTGAGGTTGTGAAATACAGACCACAATTTGGTAGAGAGCAAAATTAAACTCTCATTACAACAAACAAAAACTAAGGAAAATAGCTATAAAACACCTCCTCATGATATTTCTTCTAGAAGATGAAAGTATCAGAATCTTACATGGAAAAAAGACTGACAAACAACAGAAGGTAGATAAAGAAAATATTGAGACATTTTGGAGTTAACTTAAAGTATTATTGAAGCAGGAGAAGTGACTGTAGGTTATAAACCATTCAAAAAAAACGAAATGTTTGAGAATGTGGGATAATGATCTAAAAGAGATGATAAATCAAAAGAAGAAGGCATACAGAACCTACCTCCAAAAACGAGCAGTGGAAAACTACATAAAATATAAAAGATTATGTGCCAAATTGAGACATGTCAGCTGAATACACAGGAGAGAGGACTGGAGAAAATTTGTTAAAAGCATAGAAAGAGATGTATTAGTCCCTCAACGAATGGGTTTCAAAGTTTTAAAATTGCTGCACATGAATGTGAAAAATAAAATCAGATTAGATGGCATACCAGAAAAAAATGGGTAAAACACTACTCCACCCTGTGGAACAATCCAACTCTTAAATCCAATGAAGTTCCAGAAGGAACAAACCAAATCTCTCGCAGTGATGAATTAGACAACTCACTGAATATAGAAGGACTTGAGGCAGTATTAAGAAAATTAAAAAAATAGGAAAAGTCCTGGACCAAATGAGGTCAACATAGAACTTATAAGATATGGAGGAAATGAGCTGAAAGAAATGTTATTAGAACTTTTTAACCAAGTGTGGCAAGAGAAAACAAACCCAATAGAGTGGCAAGAGGGTTATTAACATTCACAAGAAGGGCCTAAAAAAGATATGTGTCAATTATGGGGGCGTTGTATTGCTATCAACAACTTCTAAGCTGTATGCAAATATGCTAAGGAATGGAATTAATGAAATATGAGAGAAGAGCAGTGTGAATTCCAAAAGGGTAGAACCACAAAAGACACCATCTTTAAATTGACAGTAAAAAGGAGGGAAAGGAATCTACCAACTTTTATAATATTTATTGATTATGAAAAGGCTTACGACAAAGTTAAGACAGAAACTCTGGGAAATACTAGAAGAGGAGAAAGTTCCAAATAAGTTACTCAATGCCATACAAAGTCTCTACAAGAATTCAAGAATTAAAATAATGTTAAAAGAGGGAAAAAAGTCGGCAGCAATAACAACCAACAGTGGCTTAAGAAAAGGATGTGGAATATCACCCATCCTTTTCAACATATATACCACTTAGTGAGAAACTGGAGAAAGAAAATTAGACAAGGAATACAGATCACAAAAGTCAAGAAGATAGATACAATCTTTGATGCTGATAACCAAACTATCGTAATGGATTCTGAAGATAATTTTAGAGATGAAGATTCTGAAGACAAAAGGAGCCTAAGAATGTTCTGTGAAGATAGCAATTCATTAAACAAAAGTTATGACAGTACAAAGCAAGATACCAAGGAGAGCCAAAATAGTAATAAATGGAAAATTAGTGGAACAAGTAAATACATTTTCATACCTTGAAAATTTCATAAATATATACAACCCAACTCAAAAAGACATAGAAAACAAACTTGATAACTACAATAGAATATTTGGAACAATCAAGAGACCCTTTGACAGAGACATGGACCCAGATAAAAATCTGAAACTCCACAATATAGCTGCTAACCTAGAATCATGAATGATTCTGAAACATCGGCAATGAAAGAGAGACAAACAAAAACTACTGCAGACATGAGATTTCTAAGACACCTCACGGGAATCACAATAGACAGAACAGTCTAAAAGGAGATGGAATGATCATTTACAGAGAATGAACAATAGATTTCAAAAATTAATCTGGAAGTACAAACTAGCAGGGTTCAGAGATAGAGAAAGACCACTAAAGAAGTGGTAACAGCAGAAACACGGAAGACTAAGAATCTACCAAGAATACTATAATAAACCAATATAAACATGCTATAGAGCCTAATTTGTGGTCAGTGCATGTTGATGATAATATTGATTATTTCTGTGAACTGTGCTCTGAGCTTATTCACTTCATGAACTACATCTTTAATGTCATTTTGTGTTGGCAATTTATCTACACTAGCAGATATGGAACGTGCCAAACTAAAGTATTTCTGGATAGTTTGGAACTTTATAGATGTTCTTGCTTCATCTGTTCATTGCATTGCAATAAGAATTGTGAAGTGACATTGACAATTAAGTTACACTCTTTCAGCTCTTCAGTTTCACAATGAGTGATAGCATCCAAACTTGTGACAAGAACAGGTAACTTATAACAGACCTGCAGTTACATTCAATTACGAAAATGTCCCAACAAAGCTATAAAAATTTGCTATAAAAATATTAATGGATAATTGAATGAAAGAACTATTACTTGGGAAACAACCGCTGTGAGATAATGTGTGTGTTGCTTGATATAGTAATAATTTCATATACAAAACATATCCCTTTTATTTATTATTAATGATAGAGAACTTATCAGAGGAACTCATGGTAAAAGTGAAGTTCATGACGCTTGTGAAGTAAAAAATTGTGAATTTTTTGAATGAATTTGTATTTTTCCAGCCTGAGCAAAGTGCAAAGTTCTTTTTAACACCTGCTGAGGAACGACTACTTCTTCGCCAGTATGAATTGCATCTGCGTGACTTTTGCCGACGCTTCCATCCAGCTCAGCCAAGGACTGTGTATGCCACAGCATGCCACTATTTTAAACGATTTTACTTGAAATGCTCTCTAATGGACTTCCATCCTAAAGAAATTTTGTAAGTTCTAAGCAATTGCGATGCAGTATTTTCAAATTAAAAAAAAAAAAAAAAAAAAAAAAAATAATAATAATAATAATAATAATAATAATAATAATAATAATAATATCACTGCTGTATTAAAACATCAATCAACAATTGTTTTTCAGTTCAATTCCTTGTAGGGTATTTTTATTTAAATCAACAGTTGAGTATTATTATATGACACTTTTAATTTTTGTGCTATTAATTTTTCTTTATGCACTTGTGAAGGGCTACGTGTGCTTACTTGGCTTGCAAAGTGGAAGAATTCAATATATCCATTTCGCAATTTGTTGCTAATATTCGTGGTGATCGTGATAAAGCATCTGGAATAATATTAGCAAATGAATTGTTATTGATGCAAAAGTTAAATTATCATCTAACCATTCACAATCCCCATCGTGCAGTGGAAGGATTGCTAATTGACATTAAGGTGAGATAATTGAATTAACGTAATTTATGTGACACAACCTTTTTTGCCTTGTAGATTGCACTTAGTTCTTATCATTCATTTCATTACTGAAAATTAATATTGTTATAATGTTTTTGAGACTCATTGTTATAATATAAACTTATTTTTGTTAGCGCCCTTACAACTTCTATTTTCCTTTTCTTTTTTACACTAAGTGCATATTTTTATGTTAAAAGTTGTTTTAATGGTAAGACAAATTTTTGTGAAGTGCACTACCTGGAAAATACTTATTTTTTCTTTTAATATTTACTTAATTTACAACAAATTGTTGACAGGAAGTGTTGCCTGGGAAAATGACTTAATAAATTCAAATGGCACAACTACATGTAAGAAATCCTCACTGAAACATCACACCTTTGAAACGTATGCTTTTCTAAAAATGCAAATTTCATGTGGACTTACAAAATAGTTTGAAAAGTGTGTTAAATATAAAACTATTATTTTATTTATGTGTCTTCCATTTGGTAATGAGTTGGGAACAGAATGTATTGTAATAAAGTCACCTAATATGTTCATGTATATGTATTTATTTCTTCAAAAATTTGCAAGGAAAAAGAAGTAAAATAAAAATTAATGGTGTGGTGCCCTGTTGGTGGGAGAGATACTTGGTTGGGGAAATCGCTGGTAACTGGCGTACTTGTTGGTCAGTGCCAGATCTTGCCATTGAGCAGATGAAGATTACCACCACCTTCCATGATGAAAAATATGCACTACACTTACCGGACTAATGACATAAGCAGTTGGTGTGCCTGGAATCACTAGTCAATGAATCAATGAAGGGCATTAGTAAAATTTAATCAAATACATTCAGTGTCAGACATAGCTGGTAATGTTAACAAAAATTAGAAATTCCACTGTACGGTATTTTTACTTTAATCTTTCCTTCTAAGTCAATAGAAAAGTTCCCCACCAATATTTCAAAACCTTGTGGGCTGAACATTAGTTTTTCATTGAATTTTCAACTTGCTTTTTCCAGTTTTACTCTCCTTGCCTTTTTCCAACTCTCTGTATCAAAAATATTGGCACAGATAATAGAATTTATTATGTCTTCCCAGATCTCCTATTTTATGATTTGAGTGCTATTTGGGAAACATTGGAAGGGCCTGTTTCATCTGTATTGCTATGACTGTATCTTCAATATTACATTTGAAAACTGATTCAATTATATTTCTTACATTTATACCACCATGAAAGATTTGTCTAAAACATTTTGTCGTAATACTCTGTGATTCGGATATAATTGCTGGTCAGGGCAGTCAGTTCTTTATAATAAAAACTCAAATGCTCAAACATTTCTAATATTAATAATAATATTAATGATGAAAATTATAATATTGTTGATGAATGTAGTATCCATTAAATAAATTATCACTTTCCATTGTCTTCCAAATGGAGACTGGTTTATCACTACTATCTTATAAAAACAGTTTTGCCTTTCCTTTGTCTTTTTCACTTATATTTGAAAGCAGTTCCATTTTGTTATCATTACAATTAATCAGGGCTGACAAGAGTTCAATGTTGTTGCATCATCAATTTAGTTACTTACAAGTTACTCACAACTTTAATTGATTTCTTCTTTTCTAAAACAAATGAATATTTTTTATGATTTTCTTCTTGAATGGGCATTGACTTGAAACAAAGAAACTTTAATGACATGTTTTGTTATTTATAAATAGTATAAAATTTATTAGCCTTTTCAAGAACGTCTTTAGTTGCAAGAAAATGCAAATTTGAATTCTTGAATGTTTCTCCATTTATCGACCATATTGACAAAGAAAATGGTTTTAAGCTGTGGTGTTGGCGTGGTACATGTGTGAAAATTGTGTTTTGTGTTTAAGAAAACAGAAAAAAAAATAGTGTAACCATTGTGTAATAGATTGCCTTGATACTAAACAAAGCTACTTAAGATTTTTTTGATTTCATGTTGCATTAAATTCTTATTGGAATTGAATTAACATTCATACATGTATTTTCTGTAAATATCAGTTTTTACAGTAGACTGTAAGATCAGACAAGAGGAGACCAGCGTGAAATGCAACTAGTAGGGAAGAAACTTCTAAAATTGCTTTGAATTTGGACCCCTACCCATTCTTTTTGTCTTTTTATTTTTTAGCATTATGTCAAATATTTCATTTCATTAATTAAGAAGTTCTTTAAAAGACACTTAAGAATAAGACATTATAATTTGCATGAGTTGTTTTTATTTAGTGTTTGCCCAGGACTTGATATCCATTCTATCCAATTACTTTCTGCAAATGGTGGAATGAAATATGACAGGGAAAACTGGAGAATCCCATGAGACCCTGTGGCAAGTCTTTAGTCCACCAAAATGTTTAAATAAAATTATGATAATTTAAAATCCATGAACTCAAGATGAAGAATCTTTTTTCAAGAATGTTAATGTGTATTAATTGACATCTGTGTCAATCAGAGTTGGTAGGATCAGGAGGGTTTTTCTTAAATTCATTCATAATGGTTTTGAAGGTCATGAAGCCACCTGATCATTGAATAGTAGATCTTTTCAAGGAGATTTAATAAACAGAATCTAGTTTTTATCATCACTCTTTAAGATGTAGTTCTTATGGACTAATGGTCAAATCTCAAATATATTAAAAGAGTTTTAGGGGACATGGCCTAACATTGAATTGTTATATGCTTGAGTGCAACGGGGTATGCATTTTCTTTAGTCATGGCCCTGTCATTGGTTTCTTCTGTACAGACTCGGAGTCAACTTAAAGATCCAGAGAGATTGCGACCTCACATTGATGAGTTCATCGACCGCCTGTTTCTGACGGATGCCTGCTTGTTGTATGCTCCATCTCAGCTTGCTCTGGCAGCTGTACTTCATGCAGTCTCAAAACTGCAAGAAAACCTTGATACCTATGTCACCGATGTTCTTATTGGGCAATCTGGAGCTGACAAACTTAGCAATATAATAGAAGCAGTGCGAAGTGAGTTCCTAATGTGTTATTATCATAATGTATTGCAACTATTAACTGTAGGTCACTTTTCTGTTTGGAATATTCAACTATTGCGGTAATTGTACAATCAATTACTTATACTTATTAGCTTAGTGTTTCTGTTTAACTTGTTTTAATATGCTATTTTTTTGCCTTTGCTTTTGCTTTCTGTTTTCTAAACAAGTAATTGTGTTTACCAGGATTCTGTTAAATGTTATAGTGGAATAAGAATGTTAAAAAATGTGCCCAAATATTTTGAACCAACTCTCGTTTAATATGTTTGCGACAATGAAAAGCTGAAATTACCCTTTATAAGAAGAATGTGTTTCTTAATGTGTGTGTTGTCTTTGTACCATAAAATGTTTCAACATCTGGAGTAGCTAAGAATAAAATGAATTGGTATTGACTACACCCGTTACTAAAAACAAATCATTCATTTTTGGCAGGAAATTTGAATTTTTCACTCACTTAAGTAAGAAAAAAATCTCAATGTATTTTGTATTTCAGAAATATCTAGAAGTGCCACCACAAGGAAAAAATATATTTTGTGAAATTGCATGATTTTTAGAGTGTAGTATGTTCTTAAAAATTAAATACCGATTTTTCATGTGATACATTTCCGTTTCCAAAGCATACCAAACTAATCAGCACTAATATAATCTTCTTCTCTAAACAGATATTTTTGGGGACCTTACAAAACCATTATAGTTTCAAAATTCTTTTGACATCAGCCAGCTGCTATCACGATTGTCCATTCACTATATACTCTAATCAGTTTGGCACCATGGTTCTGAATCATAGATACGCACAGCACTGGCAGTCATGCCTGAGTTCTTTACATTTATACATAATATAAACAAAATGTTCTAACTAGGTCTATTTTGGTATTACATTTTCCTTTAGCAACCCCAAAATCAAAATGTATTAATTTTTAAGTTAAATAATGGAAAAAAATCTCCAAATTAACTCTATATGATAGCCATTTAAAAATTGAATATCTTGCTGGCCCATTCATATGTTTTTTCAAAATAGTAGTAGTTCAAATATATACCAGTTAATTAATAATATATTTTCCGGCTTCATTCATACTTTTATACTGACCAATTGGATGCAACATTAGTGTGGATTAGGATGGTCATTATTTGGCAAGTCTTAAGGTTCACGAATGGTGAAAGGCGAAGGAAAATGCATGAAAAAAATTTCTGATTCTCTCTGGATTTAGCTTTTCAGCTGTATCCTTGGATTACAACAAGGTTGTTACGCCTTGAAGTGTGAACTATGAGATGATAGGTTGATGATGAGGAGTGAAGGGACAATCACAAATACGACCATGTCTACGCAGGACTCGAACCTGCAGCCTCCTCGGCACAGACGACGGCCGCCGCAACCGTCTGCGCCACGGGGCCGACATTTATTATTATTATTATTATTTAAAGTAGGATCAGTAAAATGACAATAACATCTTGAAATATTAAATTATCTGCTACTGAAAATAATTATCTACTGTATAATATCCTTATCTGTCTGTAGCAAGTATTGTAGTATAATTACTAGGCCAATGACCGCATCTCGATCAGGTTTTTGTTCAGTTTCCCTGGTCCCTTGAGCAAATACTGAGATTGCCCCTTATTTTGCTCTTGAACAGTAATGTAACTTTGCTCTCTCCACTCAAGACATCATCTTTGCAAAAACAGAGAGGAGAGTGTGGGGTTTGAAACTTTGTATATCTTAGATTCTCTTGGCTCCAAACACATTCTGTCTAGAATTAGTTCAAAACTCTTGGGAGCATTTTTTACCTTCTTATTCCTTAAAACCACTATAGCATTTGAATTTGTTGATTGTTACCAATGTACTTAGAGGTAATGTATATTACTGCATACAGAAATGAGCACCACCTGATCTTGTTGTATAACTTAAACTCAGTCTCTTAGCGTTCTGTTGTAACCATAGTCACTAAGTCCTTGTTTCTAATGTGGCCAGCTACCAAATGCTCATGCTTTCTGTGCGTTCACATGATTTGATATTGTGTTACTACTAGCTCAGCATCGTAGGGAGCAAACATTGTGAAGAATTTTGTCAGCTGAGGGAAACTTTGTATTGTTTGATGACAGAAATAAGGCTGTCACAACTATAATAATTCTTACTTGACTGGCCCTCTAATTATTTTCTTGGAAACTGTTGAGAAGATGTTCTTCGGGTGGATTGATATGTGCCAATTTCTCAGTGTTGATAGCAGAGAAATGCATTTCAATCCTATTTTGCTATTGCTTGACAGTGTTGATGCTGCAAAAGAAGGAACTGCAAATTCTTTCATATGCAAGCAGTAATAGTGCAAGTTAACTGGGCAAAATCAGGAGGAAGAAATATTTGGCATTGATCTTGATATCTGTGGATGATGAGGTACCGATAGAAATTTTCTTGAAATCATTTTTTAGTGTTCTTGATTGGGTTTTGCAAGGCATAAGTAATTAAGGAAATGTCAATTACCATTCTTACTAAGGTAATGTTCAAAATACTTCGTCAGATTATTGTGTATTCTTATTTATGTATTTTTTCTCGTGTAATTAACTTTTTATGTGATTATTGCTGCTTCAACATTTAATTCACATGAGGGCCAATAAAAGTTAAATCATAATGTTAAATCAAGTTTTAAAATATAAGGTGTAAGATTACAAGAAGAGTTTATTCTTTAAATTACAAATAAGATAACATACACTCTATGACAACAAATAGTTGCTCTCAGAAAAAGAGGTCAAAGACACGTGAAGTTTGTGGACAAAGAGTGAGGGTGGTGAATCACATGCTGTGACCATTGTTTATTGCGTTATGGGTCATTCCATGCAAAAGTAAACTTGAACAGAATTATCTAGTTTAACTAGTTTAAACGTGAATAATGGTAAAATTTACAAATTTCTAATTTGGGTTATGGATTTCATTTAATGTTGTATCTGATTTGTATACATTTTCTATTTGAGATGAAATTGATTTCAAGTCAAATTTAGATTAATAAAATAAGTTCCTAACTATATTATTTGATGTTATTTTTAATTAATAAATAAATTAATAAAGTAATAAAATGAAATAAATGGACTTATTCTGATAAAAACTGGTGTATAATAATTTAAAGTATACCAATGAAAATAATAATTATTTGTAGGTATTTTCAATTAAAATCTACAGAGAACATACTGTAGATATGGAATGATTAAACAATTCAAAAACCTGAAAATTTTAGTTTGGAAGAAACGATTTGACAAGCAAGTTGTACCATCTGTTTTTTCATGTTTTAAACAAAACTTAAAAATTAAATACATTAAATCTAAATTACTCACTAGGTTTAAATTGTGAAAATTGAAATGTGTATAAATAAATCAGTTCTCAAAATAAAACTTTATTATTAACAAAGTATTGTTAAAAGTAAGAACCTCAATAACTAGTTTAAATATCCATCTCTTGTTCTGTTCTTTCTGCCCCAGAATTCTCTAATTTAGTGCTTTAAAATGGAAAACTAACTCTAAATTAATGCATGGCAAATAATTGTTAAAATGTTTAAGTGTATTTTCCAATTATATAAAACCAGTTTATGAAAATGAAAAAACTATTGGGTCTGTGACTCTCCCGACTGTTACAATGGAATTACCTGTAAGTAAGTATACCTGTACATACCTTAACTTCTACAGTCCTGGAGGGAACCTTCTGTGAAGTGGTGATTTCTTATATTCCCCCTCGCGGACTGGGACCGTTTCATTCCATCACCTGATACAACCCATGGGCACATACTTGGTGTGTTGTTGCTATATCTTAAGAATGGAATCCTTCATGACCCTGTCGGCTTGGTCTGGTATTAGCAGAATAGGGGGTAACAATGGCCACTCCTAGATACCTCTAATTGTCTCGGAGGTCCATATTAGGCGGGTCCTGCGGCACTGACCCACCATATCCATAAGTAGTCGTGCTACCTGTATTGTACAAAAAGCAAACCAGATGTTTGACGTGGACTCATAGTTAACTCATAGTGTCTGTCTTGCAAGAGTTCATCCCACAATGGTCTGAAATCTTACACGCAGTGCAGGTCCTCCAACTGTGTGACTGCAATAGCGACCCATCTCGTCCCAGGGAATCTCAAGGAGGGAGAGATTTCTACCTCTTGAAGAAAGCCCTGCAATACGACAATATGTGGTTGAGCATAATTCTTGCTTATGGAACCCCACAGATAGTTCAAGAAAATAGAAAGCCTTCAATATTGAACGGGGAGTAAGACATCTACGTATCTTATAAATGTTAAATTGCCAGTGATGAATACATGTGTGCAGGAAACCGCCCCCTGCATTGTGAAACAAGCCACCATCATCAATAAACCTTCACCATGGGTCTTGAGAAGTCACTCTGATCCACTGATTATCTCCTCTGAGATGGAAGAGAATGTAGTGGAAGACCACTCATTATTACTTGAGGTCGCCCAATATACTCTGACATATCTGTACACTTTGGCGGCTATGATCTGGTCTTAAGGGAGTCGTATCAGTTGTCATGAAAAAAGGTCTTTGGCGTGCAGGCGTCAGGCAATGATGTGAGATGACGGAGGTTCATGGAAAGTACAAATGACTCACTAGATGTCCTGTGTGGATGATGGCTTGTTCCAAATCTTGGGGAGTATTTTGTAAATCTCATATTTGTTTAAGTCAGGGGCTCCTAAGGTTGGAGCCAAACCCCTAGGGGTCGAGGAAATTTTAAAAGGAGTTAATGATGATCAAGTGGTCAGTTGCCGAATATGCACCATTGTCAGATCGATATAATCAAGATACTATTGATTACAAAACAATACGTTAATGAACTTCAAAATTAATTGTTTTCTTGCATTAATTTTCGAAACATTAACAACAAAGTACAAATGCATCCCTCTTCTGGAATTTGAGATCATTTCCATTGTTTCTGAAAATTTAATTATATTTGATCTCACTATTAAAAACTTAAAACGATAGTCCAAAAAC